TTTATTTGTTGGCTTCACTTGGATTTGGATGTAAATTTTAGTGCATCATACCCTGATCAACTGGGCATTTGTATTCATCAAATCATTAGTGCCAGTTTCTTCAAGAAGCAGCTTTCATGCTTATTCCTTAAAGACAGAGAATGTTTATCTGGAGATTGGTATTCCACTATTTTATCCTATTTTGCAAACCTATATACTGAAATGTACATTTCAATCCATCTTTTTCTTCTGTTCACTAAAATTAAGTTGAATTAGAATGGATGAAAGACAAAATGTCTGTTAATACAATCTCTTATCTAGAGCAAAGCCTGGCTGTCTCTGTTTACATATGTAACAGATGCAGAATTGTGTATTCATTCTAAGAAAATGTATATCAGGAAGTATAATATCAGGTGTTTAAAAATCTCAACCTGTTGATTCATAACGAATATAGACAGTACTTTAACTTGTGTTTCCAAATAAGAGAGGTTTTGTTTTTCTTTCTATGAAAGTATCTCTGACTGAATCTACTTACTAAATGAGCTAGTCCATTTTGAATAAGGAAAGAATGAAGAATCTAGACATTTGCAGGTGATATCTGAGCAAGATACATATTTGGGTTTTATCACATTTTAAACCGTTTTTCTCCATTTTTCTAAACTTCAAGTGTCTTTCTCTATATCTAAATAGCAGAAAAGTGTAGAATTTTTATATTGTGCACTAGTTTTGCATAAAGAACTGCAGCTGCCAACTAATATTTCCCATTTAGTTAGTATAGGTGACTTCTGTGTATTAAACTAAAAATTACATATATCACTAACCACTATACTTTTGGTCTTTTCAGCCATTGAAACATGCCTCCCCATTTTTAGTTTAAATACAAGAAAACTTTAACAAGCAAAATGCACTGCTTCCAGGTAAATAATATAATCACCTTTTCTTTAACAAATATTTTCTTCACCTGTGGCTTAGTATGTTTAGTTAATAACTGACAAATATATTCTCATAGCATGAAGTAAAAATATCAAATTTTATCTCCCTATTAAATACTTTTATTTATTCAAATTAGAATGTACCTGTGAACATTTCAAAGGGTTTAATCTCTGACAACACATTAATTTCTCTCGCCACAGCAATGCTATTTAGAAGCCAGTTAGGTATAAATATTATAATAGTTTGGGTTCTCCCATGATAAAGAATAAAAGGCTTGATTCTGAGAATGATTATATTTCTTAAAATTATTTTAAAGCTCCTGAAAATTGGGGTAATTAATGGTTTTTGAGAGGTGAGCCCAGGTATCATCTTTACAGAGAAGTTTTAGAACAATTTCTTTAAGTTCTTAAATATCATTGTTTGTCCTTCCATATGGTTATTATAATAAAATGCAGGACTAAAGAATGATTATTTTTTAGTATTATTTGTGATCACCATAACTTTGAGTCCAAGCTGGAGATCATAAATCAGTTAATATTTTTAGCCCTAGATGTTACATAAACTATAACTAAATTCTGTTTGCAGTGTTTCACTGAAAGTCAAAGTTTTTCCTTCAGTAATCCATTTTATAGTTAATCATACCAAGTTTGAATTGATGACCCAAAGTTCAGGTGGAATTGAAGATAGTGTATGTCTAGAATGCTGGTAATGAGACACTGGTTGAAATGGAAGAAAAGCAAGACAACTGCCAAATATAAGCTAGAATATAATGAACTCCAAGGGAATGGTTACTCAGGAACTAGTCTAAGGGCAAGCATAAGGTCCATTTCCCCCTCTTTCACTGTGTTTCAGGATAATGACCTGAGAAATTTAGCAAATTTGCTGCATAATTTGATAATTTTCTAGTTTGGTTTTACAATCAAGCCTTTTGCTTGCAATCTGAAATGCATCTGTGATTTCCAGCCACAGGTCCTTATTGCCATTATTTTTGAGTATCTTACTTCATTGGTAATGAGCAGATTTTGCAAATGTCTCATACCTCAGGGAAGATCACTTGCTAGCAGCTCATACTACTAATGACAGGTTTTTGAGAATTGTGCTGACATCACGTTAGCTACTAGATGCAAAGTTTATAAAAGTATTTTATGTAGTTACTTAGTAATACTGGCTGTTAGTAAACATTTCTCTTAAAAATTTAGACCTCACTAATAACTAGTCTTTAGATATGAAATAAGCTTGTAACTTCTGTCATTATGATTTGGTCAATATAATACTATATAATAAAAGGCCAATATGCAAATTGTCCCCTTGGGAGTTCGACTGCTCGCTATGACGTGTGCTGACCACCAGGGAGCCGCACAGAATGAAGGAAGGCCCCGGCTGGCAGCCCGGGGAAGGAAGGTCCCCATCAACCCTAATTGCTGGCCAGGCCTAGGGACTCTACTGTGCACTAATTCCGTGCACCGGGCCTCTAGTGACAATATAAAATATCAGTCTAGATTTGTCTTAATTTTTCAATAGTAATTTTAATTGGCCCATACTTAAAATATGGCAGAGCAGATTTTGAGTTTCAAGGTTCTCAAAAAAGAGTTTCCATATTAAGATTTTCATAAAAGCCTTTGCAAAAATCAGGTTAAACTCCACTCATCTTACTATAAACTTAAAATGACTTTTTATAATAGTAGTAGTGAGGTAAATGCTCTAAGTAAGTTGGATAGACATTACAAGGTTATATAATTTAACAAAATTATACAACCTCAAGGCACTTCACAGTTAATTTAAAAAGTTACTATTTCAAGCCAGAACTATTCACTTGAAAACCTACCATAGTAGAATGTTTACTTAAATAAAATAACAAAGGGGAGCTATCTTGTAAGATTTATAGTTAATTGTAAGTTCTGTCATTCTTAATAATTCTTTGAGATGCTAAGTGTTTCAATGCATATTTAATAATACTTAAATCGTGGGAATTTTAACCTTTGTTCCAAAATAGCAGGAATTGTAAAAATTGTGAATTATTGGAGAAAATGCCATTACTTGTATATCTGACATTTAATTTTTTAAATTATGGAGTCTACATCCTTTTGTAGTGTAATATTAATACAATGATTATTCTCTTGTAAAAGAAAGGAAAACTAGTAAAAAAAAGTTTTAGTTATCTGCTTGTGAGTATCAAGTACTTAGTATTTAAAATTTTAAGGTATTGCATACTTTTCTTTAGAATGCACAAGTCCCTTCCTGAGCCTTTATGCCTGTGGTGGAGCAATAAAAGACTGAAAAGGTTATCAATATTTTCAGGTCTATTTGACTTTAAGAGTTAGTGCCAAGAGCTGGAGAGTCTACTTTTTGGAGGGAAATATTATTTAGTATATGTAAAAATCAGTAGTAATAGTGAGAATATTTGGAAATAATAGCAAGTGCTTTAACTGCTCAATAATATAGCATAGATGTTGCATCATCCCTAAGGCACTGGCTGTTACCCATTATTTTCGGATTTTGTGATTGCTTGTATATATTACATTTGGGTAATAAATAATTGGTAATAGTTTATTATAACTGTATAGTGTTCTACAGCACACCTCACTGTACAGTATTTGTAGTTTTCTTTTATATCAATAAAATAAAATAATACGTACTGATTTTCCCCTCAACTTCACAGTAGCTTTTTAAAATTATTTGTTATTCTTTAGTTTCCTGGAATGACACATTATTATTTTTAAACTTTTTATTTATTGATTGATTTTAGAGAGAGGAAGGGAGAGAAAAACATCAATTTGTTGTTCCACATATTTATGCATTTATTGATTCTTGTATGTGCCCTGACTGGTGATCGAACCCTCAACCGTGGTGTATTGGGACGACACTCTAACCAACTGAGCTACCTGGCCAGGGCATACCTTAATATTATAATGCATGAAAATGTAGTTCAGTTTTATAAAGGAATTCTTTGTAGTAAGAATTAATAAAGTTTTAAAAAAGTTATTTTAAGTGGGTTAACATATAGGGACAGTAATTTCTCCCCAAGTCAGATTTCAATGCAAATGAAACAAATCCAATTAGAAAAGAGGAGCAAAATTTCTTCAGACATATTACATAATTGGGTCATGTAATGCTTACTGGTTTTTTTTTGTTTGTTTGTTTTTGTTTATTTTGGTATTTTTATTGATTTCAGAGAGGAAGGGAGGAGAGAGAGGAATGAGAGAGGCACATCGATCAGCTGCCTGCTGCACATCCCCTACTAAAGATACGCCTGCAACCTGGGCATGTGCCCTGACTGGGAATCGAATCCCAGGACCTCTTGGTCCATGGGATGATGTTCAATCCACTGAGCATACCAGCCAGGTTTACTGAGTAATTAAAGACAAAGACATGTTCTAATAAAGAAAACTTGGCTTTGTGCTGGTTTTTAAAAAAACTAGTTAGAGATAATGAGGAAATGAAGGGAAATATAGAAAAATAGCACTAAATTACATTTGTATAGTTTAACAATCAACATGACAAATTTTAAGTTTTAGTGTGTATGCTTCATACCCATTTTGTTAGAGTAGATTCACTCAGTAGTTAGGGCACAGCCTCGGACATCAGACTGAGTCCTGGCACACCACTACTGGGGTTGTGAGGGTTAAATGAGTTAATACAGATTAGTAGAACAGTGCCTGACATAGTAAACATTCAAATGTTTGATATTTGTATATCAAAATAATTCTGTAGTTAGTTAAGTGGGATAAATCCTCATGTATAGGGCACATGTTATTTAAATTGTTTCATTACGTTAAAACTTTATTTGTGGTACACAGTTAATGAACTAAAAATTGGTTGTATGTTTTGGTATTTACGCAAGAGCTCTACGACCACATGCAACATTGGAAATCTGGAGAACTGATAGCTGTGCTCTAACGTGTTCTGTGACCAAAGGCAAATCATGGAGCCTTTCAAGGCCTCTATTTCTACTATACATGTGGTTCCACAGTCTTTACCTTCTTGTTCTGCCTGGTCATGTCATTGTAATGTCACTTGCTGACAGCATAGTCCTGATTAAAACCAGTGACATGGGGGTGAGCCCCAAGTAAACTAAACATAAAAAGCTTTGCTTTATGCTTTGGCTACACTTGTTCCAAACTTGGACTGGAGGCCACTGGTACATACTATAGAATTTAGAACTCTCAAAAACTCCAGTGAATAAAATAAGATAAACATCCTACTTATGACAGTTCGGTATGGATTTTATTTTGATTGGCTTTTTCAAACTCTAGTAATGGCAATGCTGACTCTAATCATTAAAAATGTATATGGAAAGCTTGAAGTAGGTACTTAATTAAAAAAAATATTGATTTTTTTAGAAAAAGGGCGAGGGACATAGAGACAGAAACATCGATTGGCTGCCGCCCACACATCTTCTACTGGGATTGAGCCCACACCTTGGGCATGTGTCCTGGCTGGGAATTGAATTGGGGACCTCTTGGTTCATGGGTCAAGCTTAAGCACTAAGCCACACTGACCGGGCTGAAGTAGATATTTGATTTTTTAAATTATATATGGTATACTGAGGTGGAAAACTTACGGGCTTTTCAAACTTGTACTCTTTCTGGTTGGAACTAAAACTGTCTTTGGTCCATTTATCTTACTACATAATTCTTTTTTAAAACATGAATTGTGTGAGAATCTGGGGAGATAATGAGGAAATGAAGGGAAATATAGAAAATAGGGGATTATTCCTGTTTGCCAGTTCTACTTACAGAAAGAAATATGTATAGGATGAGGTCAGCCTATAAAATGACTTATTTTCATATTTGATTTATGGAATCAACATATTCAATCATTCATTTAAAACGGTCTCTTAGGCACTGATCAAATGCTATGCTTCTTTCTGTTCTAGGAACACGAGAAGCAATTCTAAATGAGACAAATTCTGTGTGGCTCTTAGAGCTTTTGGTCCAATGATGGAGACAAGCAATAAACATAATAACTATAATTTAGTAAACCTTCCCCTATATCTTGGCAATAGGTAAAACACAATATGCAATAAATAATTAGTTTAACTCTCAAAACAATTCTTTCCGGCGGGGTATCATCACTGTCACAATCTTTCAGGAAATAGGCTCAGGTAGGTTATGTAGTTTACCTAAGATCCCGGAGTTAACAGGTTGCAGACCTGGGATTTAAACCTAAAGAAGTTCATGACTCTGTGGTAGCCTGTGCTCAGTGCTACATTCATAATTTAACAAAGGAGTGAAATTTGGTGAACACATAAGTTTACATAGGTCTGTTGTTAACTACCTTGTGTACAGGTACATCAACCTGGTTTGAACGATAGTGCCCATCTTTAATTTCATTTCCTACAAGTTTCCTTCCTGAACCCCAATCCTCTGTCTCAAGTTCTTCCCTTCTTGGGTTTGTTTTCTTCCTCAAAATTGGGAGATGCTTTAAGGAAAGGTTTCGGAACTTCTTAAATGATTAAATTGGGTAAATTTGAGAATCATTGGTCAGATAAAAGTCAAACCACCTCTCTTCAAGAACCTAGAGTAATTATTGTCATTTACTAAGTGGGTCTGTTGCTTACGTGGGAAGGTTTCTATGTACAGTTCATAGGCTATGTGCATATCACCTATTTCTATGGCATCTATCATATGTCAGGTATGTTGCTAAGACCTAAAGAATTAGTAGAAAGTTATAAATCAAATTGGCAATATTCAGCACCTCCAAAAATATTTTATTTACTAGGCCCATCCAAGCAAAATTGAGTGGGGTGCTTATGTTTGCCACACTATACACCCCAAATCCTGTAAGAGAATGATAAGGATAAAAAAGTTTAAGAAAGCTTGTGCAAATATGGTTACTAAGGAAAGAAACCAGCTGTAACAGGGAATGAGATTCTAAATTCAGTGTATATAACCAACTTCAGAAACATAAGCTTATCTTTTGAAACTAAAAGGTATCTCTCCTACAGAATATGACCAGTGTAAGTTAGGTGCATAGATATATAACAAAAATGTAAGCAAAATAGTAAAGCAAGAACCAAATTAGGAGCTAGCATCTCTCAATTATTCTGATTTCCTTCAACATTATCAGGATTATAGAAAGATTAATTACAACTCTTCTAACTCCTCATGGTCCTGTCCTAGTATCTGACACATTTTCTGTTTCCATTAAGCAGTAGTGCTGCCTAAGTTGCTGTAACCAATGTATACCTTAAATTGTGCTTACAATATTTCTTTTTAAGTTAAGATTATCATTTAGCAATCTTATGGCAAATGATCTGCCTTTTTCTCTAGTAAACTTTACAATGTTATTAAATGTATTTTTGGTACAGTGAAGTGATTAGAAAAAGCAATATCTGAA